AAATACCCTATGATTCCACTTATATGAGTACCTACAGTAGTCAAAATCACAAAGACAGAAAGAAAGATAGCTGCTTGGGACTAAGTAGAGGGGGGCATAATGATTTATCATTTAATAGGCAGAATTTCAGTTTTGCAAGATAAAAAGAGTTCTGTGAATGACGGTGTGATGGCAGCATAACAATGTGAATACATTTAATACCATTCTGAACTGTATAGTTAAAAACTATTAAAATGGTACATTTTATATTATGTATATTTTACTACAATTTTTTTTTAAAAAGCACAAGAGTGGGAGCACTTGGGTGGCTCAGTCAGTTGACCGACTGCTTCGGCTCAGGTCATGATCTCACGGTTTGTGAGTTCAAGCCCCGCATCAGGCCCTGTGCTGACAGCTCAGAGCCTGGAGCCTGCTTCAGATTGTGTCTCCCTCTCTCTCTGCCTCTCCCCCACTCATACTTCATCTCTGTCTGTCTCTCAAAAATGAATAAACATTAAAAAAAATTTTTTAATAATAAATAAATAAATAGCTAGCACAAGAGTGGCTTTCTGCGGTTTCTAATACTGTCAAAATAAAGCAAAAATGACCACCAATGCCCAGGACAGCTCATAAACCATAAACAAGTCCCACTGTATTACTCAAATATCCAGTTCCTCTGCTGGAGCTACTTAGCAATAGCAATGTTTTAGCTTCCTCTTCCTTCTTAAACCCATTATTGTAGAAGGGAAAAAAGAGTAAAAAAATAAGGGGAAACTAATGAGAATGTTTCAGGAATATTACTTCTCTGTGGTTCAAATTTCTTACCTTAAAATGGGGGAAATAATAGTGCCTACCTTGTCAAAGGGCTAGTGTAAGGATTAAGTTCACATATATATACAGTATACAAGAGTGCTTACCACATGGTAAGTGCCCTATAAATGTTAGCTATCCATATTACTCCCCAGGAAAACTCAACATCTTATTTCAACTACAACCTATATCTCTGCTTGCTTAGTCTCTCCTGAACACCAACTCACCAGCTGCTTAAAAAAAACAAAACAAAACAAAAAAACAAACAAAAAAAACACAGGGCATCTGGATGGCTCAGTCAGTTAAGCCTCCAACTCTTGATCTGAGTTCAGGTCTTGATCTCAGGGTGGTTACTTCAAGCACCACGCTGGGTGTGAAGCCTACTTAAAAACAAACAATAAAACACCACCATCTCCAACTGGATATTCTCAGTGAAGGACACTGCTATATTAATTCAGTCATCCAAGGCAGACCTAGGACTGTTAGACACCCCTCTCCCTCACCCTCAATATCTAACCTTCCACCAAACCCTGTAGACTCTGTTTCCTCAATACTTGTTGAAATCATCCCTTCCTCTATAACCACACTTTCCCTGCCTCCTCTTAGTACAGGCCTTCTACTTCTTCCAGGATTACGTGAGTAGTTCTGGCTGGACTTTGGGACCCGAAACTCAGCCCACTCTGATCCTTCCACAACTGCTACAGGGATATATTAAAGCAAAAATCTCCTAGTGGATATAAGTGTTTATATGGTTTTTTTTTTTTTTACTTTTTTTACACTTTCAACATGAAATTTGTAAATTTCAATTTAAAAATGATAAAAGAAACTAGGGGCAACTGGGTGGCTCAGTTGGTTAAGTGTCCAACTTTGCCTCAGGTCATGATCTCATGGTTCATGAGTTTGAGCCCTGTGTTGGGCTCTGTGCTGAAAGCTCAGAGCCTAGAGCCTGTTTCAGATTCTGTGTCTCCCTGTCTCTCTGCACTTCCCCCCTCACACTCTGCCTCTCTCTCGAAAATAAATAAATATTTTTAAATTTTTTTTAATAAAAAAAGAAAGAAAGAAACTAAAGTGTTCCCCTCATCAGTGGTGGTTGCAGGAGAGAAGAGGAGAAAAGGACTGCAAAAGAGTACAAAGAAATTTTGGAGACTGACAGATATGTTCATTATTTTTATTGTGGTGATAGCTTTTCAAGTGTATACCTATGTTAACAGTTATCAGGGGTTAAGCGTCCGACTTCGGTTCAGGTCATGGTCTGAGTTTGAGCCCTGCATTTGGCTCCGTGCTGACAGTTCAGAGCCTGGAGCCTGCTTCAGATTCTGTGTCTCCCTCTCTCTCTGCCCCTCCCCTGCTTGCACTCTGTCTCTCTCTCTCTCTCTCTCAAAAATAAAATAAAACATTAAAAAAATTTTTTTAAACAGTTATCAAATTATATAATTAAATAAGTGCAACACTGTACATCAATTATTCTTTAACTTTAAAATTTAAATGAAAAAAGAGTAAATATCAAAAAAACCCTTTAAAAACAAACTCTTTTGCATTAAAAACAGAAGCTTTGACATAGATGCCATCTACAGCATGATAGATGACACCAAGTAATATGTATACATCGCCATCAAGGACTACCTGTCTGTATCCAGCACAAGTATCAAAAGGTCAGGGAGTGCATAACCTTGTCCTAGAACCCAGTCTCCAGGGCCAGGCGCAAACTGGCAACCACAGGAAACCAGCCTAGACACTGAGCTGCTATCAGCTCACGTTAGGTTGCACACTATTCAAAGCTCCTCAGTGTGCATTTGTAGTTTACCCATGATGCAACTCCTCAACCCATTTGAAGGACTCAGGGTCTCAGCCTATAGAAGTACCCCAGTGGTTTATACTATAGGCAGGAGAGAAACTTTAAAATGAAGATTGGGTTGGTTTCAACTTGAAAATTTGAAAAATAAAATCCAAAAATGAAAATTATTTGAAAAAAAAAAAAAAACTTTAAAAATAAATCTTCCCTTGCTTAAAACATTTCAAAGGGTCCCCTGTGCCTCAGGATAAACCTCTAATCCTACCCAGGAGACACAAGGCCGTGAATCCTGCCATTTCACCATAAGTACCCAAGTCAAGCCAAACAGAGTCACATACAGTTCTTGGTTATCTGGCATTAGTAGCATATGCTCTCTTTCCCCTTCTCTAATGCTCTCGTTTAGTTCAGGAATCACTCCCTGATGGATGCTTATCCTCAAGCTGGTTTAGTATGTCTCTACTCTGCTCCTATAGCACCTGGTACAAACTTCTATCACAGCATTTCAAGTATTGTATTAGGAGTTCTCTTTTCTGTCTCTCCTGTTAGACTATAAACTTCAGACAGAGGTCTATGATTTCCATCCTCAGTTCCTTGGATAGTTCCCAGAATGCAGTACTCTCAAAACAGGTGCTGAACTAAAAGGAAGAGAAGAAAAAGCACTTAAATGTCACCTGTATCAACTGATTTTCAGATCAATCCTATCAAACTTACTGTTAAGGAAATCTGAGGCTCAGAGAAGTTAGGGGACTGGCTCCAGGTAACACATAATAAGTAACAGAGCCACACTTTCAACCAAGGCTCTTCAGACTCCTAGAAGGTAGATTCCCTATATTTGTGAATTTCTCAGCACCTAACCCAAATGCCTCTTCAGAATAGGTAATCAATAAATATCTGCTGCTTTCATGTTTACTGTCACTTTCAACTAGTATTAGGGGAGATTCCATTGCTTTGTCACACAGCACATTATATAATAAGAAACTTTTAAAGATTCATAGTATAAAGTAAAAGTGACTTTTCCTTATCTAAACTTGCTTTTTATCTAAAAGGATGAGCAGAAAGGAATAAATAGCAAAAAAATATAACAAATAGAGGGCAGTTAGGTGGTGTCTATGGATGCTACCACCTAAGAAGAAATAAACCTGCAACAGTCCACACACTCAGGGGCAAGAATATTTAATATATCAGGCAGGCCCTAACTTCCAAGATAAATCAAGGTGTTCCTTTCAGGTATATAGCCCAATAAACTTTTCATCTTTTTCCTGACATATCCATCTTAAAAGTGTAATAATTTAGGACATCCTACTTGCCATTTCTCCCGCAGTTCTCAGATCTGAATCAATTTCTGCCCTGGCATCAACAATTACTTCACTAAGTGAATCTTTCTGTAGGTTATATGAGCTATTCTTCAAACAATTACTGAGCAGGAACACAGAGTACCGCACTTTGCTAGGCTGACAATAAATACAAGACATAAAATTGCAGTTCTTATAAACCATATATAAAAAGATTAGAAACATAAGTGTAAATAACTCACACGATAGCCAGAGGCAGGAATGGGCAGTGTCTGCTACGAAAAACAATGTCCTTGACCCAATTTCTGAAAGACTAGCTAAAATGATAAACCCTCCCATCACTCAATGATTAGTAACTAGGTTCTGTATCATCCTAACCTTTTCCTGCTGCCACCTTCTTTCTCCTTGAATTCCCAGATGTCAGAGTATGCTAGAAGGATAGGGGCTGAATCACAAGGGCCGTAGTTTCTCACAAGAGTGCTAAGAAGTCAAGTAATTCCTTCCTCACTTCGTTAATTCCTTCAACATTTATTGAACACCTACGGTGTGCCATACACTGTGCTGGGCAGAGTATGAGCTCGGTTTGCGTGCAGCTTTCAATCTCCTGACCTGAAACAGTATTCCACTTAACTGTACAGTTAAGAATCGTCTTACTGATTGGTCTCGGAAACAAACCCAGAGAATCTCGGAAACCGAAGGAACTGCAGATTAACGTCCTCATTTTTCCCGTCGGGACACTGAGACCCGAAAGTGATTTGCCCAAGGTCACACTGGGAAATCAGTGACAGAACAGAAACAGGAACCCAGGCCTCCCGAAAACTCCAATCAGTGCCCCCACGTGCTGCCTCTCCCTGAGGGAGAGCGGTCGCAAGAGGTAAGTGAGGAAAAGCAAACTTCGCCAGATTTGGGTCCGATGTCACTCTCTCCCTCCTCCAAAAACGGGGAAGCCACCACCAAACCGAGGGTAGGGGAAAGTGGGCAGCTGCCTCAGTTTCCCCGCAGAAAGGCGACCGCGCAGCCTCGCTGCCACCCAAGCTCCCCTCCTGCACTCTCCTCCAGCTTCTCCCGCCCTGCCCTTTCCGACTCCAACCCTGGGGGCGACCGCAGAAAAGTACTCCCTCACTCACAAGGACTCGCACCAGCAACGCCATGTTCTTCTGCAACCACTTCCGGGTAAAGAGTGGCCTTCCGGAGTCCCCGCTGCCCCCTCCCCTTGTCTAAGTTGTCCTTTCGCCGGCGGTACCTGGCAACGGCAGCGCAGGCGCACAGAGGCGCCTGCGCTCAAGAGCGCGCACTTTCCCCGACCTGGCGCGCGCCTCCCGTTCTCCCCTGTCTAACCCCTGTGACACGTCACAGAGACTCACGTCTTCCCCGCTGCACCTGTCCTCCTTGACCAATAGCCTTGCGCTTTTCATAGCTCTCTCCTTAACCACTTACTTCTCCCTCACCCAGCCTCACTCGTCAGCGTCCCGTTGTCAGAATTCTTCTTTCTCCGACTCTTCCCCCACGGGAATACCTCCCCTTTTCACTGGGGGGTGAAAAAAAAACAGGACTTTGGGGGATCCCAATATTGAAGAGCTCCCAAAAAACGAGTATGAGAAGTTGTTGTACAGGAACACAGGAGAGTGTTCAGCTGAGTCCTGAAAGTCAAGAGGGCAGTCACGTGCTGACCCGAGGCCTGAAGAGGAAGGAACTTTTGGGGTTTCTGGCCGGTTGGTTGTTTAATGTGAACATCTTTGAGTTTTGATAGGAAATAATTGTGAAGGTGAAGGCACAGAAGAAGGAATCAAGGATACGAGGAATTTCTTGAGGAGGTGGGAGAGAATCACCTTGGCTGGTGGACCTCTTCCACTGTATCCCAAGAGCAGTAGATGCTCCTGGGGTTGACTGGGAGCAGAGGGGCAGGATGTTAAAAGAATTCCTCTCCATTAAGTCAACAAAGACCCAGTGAATGTTCACTATGTGCTGGTCACAAGACAGATGTGTATAATGGCTTTGTGGAGTTCTAGACTGGTGAAGGGGGCACACAAAATCTAGTAAACCAAGGAAAAAATAAAATAATTAAAAATCGTGGGAAGTGCTTTGAAGGAAACAAAGAGCTAAACTTGAGAATAATATGGGAAACTACACTTCAGATAACATGGCCAGGTAAGGCCTCTCTGAGGAGGTGACATGTAAGTTGAGACCCAAAGGATGAGAAGGAGCTAGCCATGGGAAGTGACTTTGAACATGCTATTTTATCAGCAAATGTTGGGGGATGAGAGAGGGAAGAAAGATTCCAGGACAAGAGTCCCGAGATAGGAAAGAATAAGGGTTTATTTCAAGAAGCGAAAGAATTGGGTATTTACCAGAAAGAAAAACACTAATGCAAAAAGATATATGCACCCCTATGTTTATTGCAACATTATTTACAATAGTCAAGATATGGAAGCAACCTAAGTGTCTATCCACAGATGAATAAAGAAGATGTAGGGTATATGCAATGAAATGTTACTCAGCCATAAAAAAGACTGAGATCTTACCATCTTCAACAACATGAATAAAGCTAGGGGGTATTATGTTAAGTGAAATAGTATGACAGAGAAAAACAAATCCATAGGATTTCACTTGTATGTGGAATCTAAAAACAAAACAAGTACGAAAGCAGAAACAGAGTCATAAATACAGAAAACTGGTAGCTGCCAGTGGGGGCGGGGGGATGGGTAAAATAGGTGAAGGGAATTAAGAGGTTAAAAAAATCCCAGTTATGGGCCCAGTTGAGTGTCTGACTTCGGCTCAGAACACGTACAAGCCCAGCATCGGGCTCACTGCTGTCAGGCTTGCTGCTATCAGCATAGAGCCCACTTCGAATCCTCTGTCCTCCTTTCTCTCTGCTCCTCCCTTGCTCATTCTCTCTCTCTCTCTCTCTCTCTCTCTCTCTCTCTCCCAAAAATAAACATTTAAACAAATTCCAGATATGAAATAAGTCACAGATGAAAAGTACAACATATTAATCAATAATATTGTGGGGCGCCTGGTGGCTCAGTCAGTTAAAGCACCCAACTCTTGAATTTGGCTCAGGTCATGATCTCACAGTTAGTGAGTTCAAGCCCCACATCAGGCTCTGTACTGACAGCATGGAACCTGCTTGGGATTCTCTCTCTGCTTCGTGCACTCTCTCTCTCTCTCTCTCTC